CTCTCCTCTCCTCCCTTCCTTCCCTTCCCGCACCTTCCCGCACCTTCCCTTCCCGCACCTTCCCTTCCCGCACCTTCCCTTCCCGCACCTTCCCGCACCTTCCCTTTTTTCAGATGGATGAAGTTTCACCTGAATGGATATGGATTGATTTAGGTTTTAGAATCAGTTAGCACATGCTTCAAGTGAGATGCACTAAACTGGGGAATTTCACCCAGTCTGTTTAGAAATTGATCTGTTTGTAAGCCACCCAATTTGCATCAGCATACTGTTATTTTTATATCATCTTGTTTTAACGGCAAAGGTTTCCTACAGGAACAGAGAAATAGAACGGTCTTTTTTTTTTTTTCCTTAGGTCATCCCATTTACTCCTACTCATCTATTTTCAAAAGTGAGAGACTGATGCAAAAAAAAAAAAAAAAAAAAGCAGAAAGCTAAAAATCTGTTTCACATTATGCCTGTTTTTATTGTTTCCCATTTCTTTTCTGTGATCAAAACTAGATATGACATGGGAAACCAGTGCCCTTTAATAGATTGAGTAAGAATTCAACTTCTAGCAGCAGGGCCAGCACTGAAGATCATAGTCTTAACATTTAAAACCATTTTAACTTTTCTTTTGTTCTGATTGGGCAGAACAAGGAAAAATAGTTACAACAGATTTTAAAGAAGACATCTTTAGCCAGAGCAGGCCATAAGTGATGAGATAGTAAATGTGTCTTGATTTCAGACATGGCTTTTACATCACTCCTGATTTTATTTTCCTAAGCCTTTTCTGGTACATTTTTAACCTGAAGATAAAAAATGCTGTTAGAACTTACAGACTGCAGAGCGAGTTATTTACTGTAGTTTTGAAGACACTTGATAATTTCTTCACTGGTAACAATTGCCTTTTTCAGGAAGAGCTAGAAAACAAATGTGGATGAGCTAGTCCTAAACAGCAAATATATATGTATTTCTTATCTTAACCCTTAAAGACAATACTAGTAATAAAGTCCATTGCAAGCTGTCAGTCAGTAGTGTAGTTATACACAAGTTCTAGTTATACACAAGATCTTCTCGTTGTAATAACTGAGATTCCAATCTAGTTGCAGCCAAAGCTAGATGTATTTCTGGTATGGGTAACTATGAGCAGGCTTACTCCTCCCACACCTGAAACGCGCTTTGTTATGACACTCCTGCAGTCAGCCAGCAGTGCTAACAAGCCTCCCTGCTGCCAGTGACCCAATATACATGTCCAAGGATAAACAGGGCCCAAACTGTAATTCCTCTACACAGGAGCAATGCAGGGGGGCAGAGCTCCCAAAAGCAATGCTAGCATTCCCCCTGTTTGGCTGTCTCCAGGCAGAAAGGGGCAGGGAACATGATCTACCTCCCCTGAGAGGAGAACACATGGCCTTCATGGGCAAAGTATAAATACTTTGGTTACCCTCTCCCCACCCATGTAAGACAGTGCATACCCATCTAGAAAATCAAAGAAAGCTTCCCCCACGCTGCTCCAGCACAAACTACAATCAAGACTGCAGGCAAGTGTTGGCCGAGTTTGGATTGCTTAGATTGCTTTAGTTTATCTTCTAGAAATGAGATTTAAACAGTCTTTGCAGTCACCTGGGTAATGCTAACACCTGTTAAAATTTGTTTGGTGTTGATTTTTTTATTCAATCAATTTCACTTCAAGCTAGGATTTAGTTCTCAGTTTGCACCAGAATTACCGCAACTAGCTTAACCCTGCCCCTTTGGATAACTAAAATGCAGGAGGGTATGGAATCACTCTGCTCTGCCATGACATTGCTGGTGTGAACATGTAGATGCTTGTAGGAACAATACCCAGATAACTTTTCAGACAACTATCAGGAATGTAATGAATGCTAATTTTTGTCCACAAATTGTTAGCCATTCACTTCCAACGCAATTTCCAATTTTAAGTATGGAAAGTGGAATAAAATTTCTGCAAGTGACAGCCAGGATAAACACTAGGAAAGACCTGCTCCAGGCCTGCAGGGAGATGTCAGATACTCCCAAGATATCCTTAATTGAAGCTGACAATGGGAAAAGAGCTGCTCTGGAAAGCATCAAAGTCATGAAAAGAAATGAAATATAGTAAAAAAAAAAAAAAAAAGGAAAAAACTCCACTGCAACTCACAACACATGAAACTCCCCGGAGCCAAGTCATCCTTGGAATAACATGCAATCCTTACTGGGCCAATGCCAAGGAGCTCTTCGTCTCCCTGTGTCCAGGGACTTTAAGGCAACGTGAGGGCAGCAGACTAAGGACCTGTGTTTGCCTTCTGCTCTCTGAGATGCCCTTAGTGAAAGATTTTAGAATAATAAATGGATCCTTTCTGCCTCCATCAGGAGGAATTTGTCTCTCTTTATGCTAAAATGACCCTTGTTCAATTTTTCATTTCAAAATAAGAAGACATGAAGCAATTTTCTGTCATGACTGCTTTCTGGCACAGCTGCATTTGTAGATTTCTCCCCTGTGGACCCCTACCAAAAAAATCTTTAGGACATTAATTTCAGAAATATGAAACTGGTTAGAGTGTTGTTCCACCAGGTCAGAAACAAATATTTTCAGAAATTATTCCCTTGTGTCTGTAATGACTGATTTTGTTTCTATCTTTTGGCTTTGAATCCTATAGTAATCATTAATCCCCTGGAGTTCACAACTCCTAGTAATTACTGGCTTGCAGTGGTCCTTGTTCCACTCACAATCTTTTCTGACAGTTTTTAACTCCAAAACAAGTTCTTTTGGGTTTCTGTTGTTTCAAAGCGCAAATGTTTTGAACTGGCTTGAGAAATTCAAGATTTCTTTAGCCATAATTGTTTTCCCATTCAGATCTTTGAAGTCTGGACTCAGTTTGTGGGATACTGTTGGAGGCAGTGCCTTGGGAGGACTGCATTATTTCCTGCTGCAGACTGACAAGTTCTGTCTGCAATACACCAGCTGAAGTGCAGTGCAGCCCCACAACTTATTTTGGGTTCTGCTCTATTCCCCCAGGAGGTCAGTGCTAGATATGTTTATCACTAGGGTCCAGGCTGAGGGGAATTACCTCAAAGTCTGTTCTCAGTGAAGTACTGTGAGTTACTGTTAGCAGAAGCTTTGTTTCCTTCCTCTTTTTTTGTTTTTCAAATTCCTGGATGTAGATTCTGTGCCTTGAAATATGAATGGCATCTATTATATTATTTATGTAAATAAAGCAAGTCGAACTGCATTCATTTGGTTTGATCTATCATATCATGTTCATGATAAGATACCTTGTCATGTATCTTATCAAATGAACACTTACCATAAAATGGTAGAATGGCTTGGGCTAGAAGGGACCTTAAGGATT